TGGATGCCACCCTGTGCCACATGCTGTAGGTGTGCCTGCTTGAGCAGGAAGGTTGGACTAGATGATCTGTAGAGGTCCCTTCCAACCTTAAATATTCTGTGATTCTGTGACATCCCTGTGACCGCAGCCCGTGTCACACAGGGGACCGGGCCCCTCCGCCCCAGGGCCTGGCCAGGGCTGGCCCTGCAGCAGGCAGGGCTGCACGGGGTGCTGGGGGCTGCCCCTCCCCCACGCAGGCTCTGTCGCAGGGACATCCCCCTGACAGGGCTCCGGCCGGGCTGCACACGGAGCCTGGGCTCCCCCGGCCACGGCCCAGTGTGGGGAACCTGTCTGCAGGGAGGGCAGCGGCACGGCCGCACTCGCCCCATATCCTGTGTGGGGAACCTGCCTGCAGGGAGGGCAGCAGCACCTGCAGTCTGCAGGGAGGACAGTAAGCGTTGATCACTGAGCCCACCAAAACCTCCAGCAGCTCCTGGGCAGCCACCCAGATGTTCTCCTGGGTGCTCCAACCAACGCGTCCTTCCCTTGATGGTTCCTGCAGAGCTGCAGGCCCCAGATCACTGAGCAGAGGGGCCACCCAGTCTGCTCTGGATGCACTGCTCCTATATCTGCACCATGGATTGGCCTCGTCACACCAGGCCACAAACACCTCAACCAGCAGAACGGGAGGAACACGGGGACCCTGGAGCCACACGTGTGAATGACCCTCACTCAAGGAGGGAGAGGGCAGCTGCAGGGATTTGGAGGTGGGTCAAACACCAGCTCTCGAGCATTTTAAAAGATCTGCCGGACTCATCTGTAAGAAACAGGAGACATTCAGAGGTGGTCCACAGTCCTCTGCTTTGAACACACTCACATCTAGGGTGGGAATGTCTAAAGTTGCAAGGAAATGAAAGGGGAAAAGCAGCTCATATCTACACTTAAATAACCGACTGCTGAAGCAGGGCTCAGGAACAAGGTTTCAAAACCTCCCATCTGCACACTTCCCCACTAAACAGCTGGTAGGGGTCAAAGCATTAGATCTGTTAAGGCAAGGAAGAAGTCTTGTGAAAACTTCCACTTCAGGAACAGAGATTAACACAATTTTGTTGTTGTTTGTTTTCCTCTCCATCATTTCCAGATGAATGAGAATGAGAGACACTGCAAGTGTCCTTTGACCCTTAAGAATAAAAGTGATTTTCCTTTCCTCTGTGAGTCCCTAAAATCCAGCTGGTACCATCATTATGTGACTATCTGAGCAGGAAAAATAAAAGGGTTGATTTTTAAAATCTGGGGATCCCAGAGTGTCCCTCTGCCAAGAGACCAAGGAGAAGTGCTGAAGCCTGGTCCAGAGGAGCCACTGCCCACACAGATGGGGAGAGGGTTTCCCAGAGGGTCATTTCTTCCTGATGACCATGGAGACCCAGCATGGCTCCTCACAGGCTCTTCCTCCACCATGAAGACCACTGAGCTGGTACTTCGGCGGTTCAACCGCAGAGGAGAAATACATTTGCTGTAAACAGTTCTCACTTGTAGAATTCCTTTCAGATGGTAAGGAGTGCTTTCCATTCCTGTGTGCTTTCCTTGTACCCCCATGGAATTCAAAAAAAAAAAAAAAAAAAATAAAAAAAAGGAGGGATAAAGTGAAAACAAGGGATAAAGTGAAAACGGGATTATTCCCCTTCTCAACAGTACATGCCAATCAAGATATGGTTGGGAGGAATATATCATTTTATTGACAAACATGAACACAAAAATAATGACAGTAGAGCTATCATTCTAGATCTAGTGATAGTATTTGAGATAATTTGAAATAATTCCCATTATTTCATCAAGAACTCCTTCAGCAAAGAACAGAATTGGAGTAAAAGTCAGTGTAAAACCATGGTTGAACATAAGGAACCCAGCACAATAAACAACATCAAAACAGAGTCTGCTTTCCAAAGCAGGCTGGTATCAGAGCAGGACAGTTTAAATAAGGGATAGCTGTCCCACAAGATGTGGTGATTCTTTTGGAGGCCACGGAAAGCCAGCTTTGAGAGCAGGACCAGGTGGTAAGTGAAGAGAGCGAAGGCTGTGACCCACAGAGCAATCACCAGGTGGGTGAAGAGCTGCTACTTCATGATGGCAGCGTAATGGAAAGGCTGGTGGAGGGCAAGGTAGCAGTAAAAGGCCATGCTAATAAGGAGAGAAAAATCTGCACAGTCCAGGGGAAAATAGAAACAGGACTGGGCAAAACAGATGCTTCAGGAGATTGTTCTCCCAGAGCTCAGAATGGCCAGCAATATGAGGGCTGTAGAGGACATAAACCATTTTTGAGAAATGCCAGACTGCTGATGAAAATGTACATGGGACTTTGCGGTGATGCACATACATGAGAAAAATGATCATAGTGTTGCCTGTCATTGTTGTCAGGAATGTGAGTAGAAGGATCAGGGAGAGAAAGAGATGTAGTCTTTGAGCAAGGCCTGAGAAACCCTCTAGGATGAACTCAGCAASTACAGCTTCATTTCTTGGTCCCATGCCTGATTTCAGTATTGATTTCAGCTGAGAGAGCTGCATGAAGAAGTAAGTGTGAGAATGTCACAGTCTGCAGGGGAGGGTATCTCCATTGTTATTTGCKCTCTTGCTTGCTTCAGTATAATGCAGACACAAATATTCCTGGTGCAGGGTGCCCTGTGGTGGAGCCAGGGGTTGGCCCTGGTGCAGAAGGGTGTTGGAGTGCAGGGTGCTCTATGATGGAGCCAGGTGGTGGCATGGGTGTAGCACTATGTTAGAGTGCAGGGTGCCATGTGGTGAAGCTGAGTGACAGTCCCAGGGTTTTGCTGATGAGCACGGGAGGAGGTAGCTGGAGAGAGCCCTGCTGTCCTCCCAGAGCCCAGCCTTTCAGCCTTAGGTCCTTCTAGAAGAGGACTGTTGGTGACCATGTTCCCTCCTTGGAGCATCCTGMTGCAAGCCAGGAATTCTCAGTTTGATGGTTTCTTTCAGCTGATATTCAGGTTTGCAGTCTGTGCAGGTCCTGATGATCACCTGAGTCTTTGGGTCTTTAGTCACTTGGATGGAGTAAGCTCACTCCACCACTCCTTTAAGGAGATTCTATTGAAGCTATCTATTGAAGCTGGACCCTCACTGCATCTTCCCATCCCTGACCCTAATTGATTCCCCTCCCTCAGAGATGGGGAGTAAATCAATGCAGTCAGAGCCATTTCTTCATTTTGTGCCTATCCAGACCCCTGTAGACAGGGAGATGTCCCTCACAAGAAGTCAGATCTCTCAGAGTGATGGATGTCTCTGAGATACCTGTCTTTGGTGAGCAGTGGAGGTGACAGCTCCACATCCACAGGTGTCTTTGTTAAGAGTCTCAGGTCCTGAAGGCAGATCCCAGTAGAGGAGTTATCTTTGGGCCCTTTCCAGTGAAGTTTAGTTATCTCTGAGGATCAGAGGAGATAGGAGGAGATCTGAGAACCTCTCCGGTTCCCTGGGCCATGGTTTGGCCACCATCATGGATTTGTGTTTGGGAGAGCACAGTCAGCAGAGCCATCAATACAGTCTACATCTCTTTTTTGGCACAGTGGAGATCATTTCTGTATGTGAGATCCCATTGGGGCTCTCCCGTCCTGACAAGGCAGTTCTTTTCCCTTGATGCTTTGGCTGTTCTCTACCCCTTCATGCAGCTGGATCTAGCTCACAGAATGATTTACATCCCAGGGACTGAGATGTCACAGATCAGCCCACCACTCCCCAGATCCTCTTTCCTGTCCTAATAGAAGATGGTTGTAATGCCTGGCGGGGAGGCCTGGAGGCCAATAGAGGCTGTAGGGCTGTGCCAGCTCCTGCTGCACTGTTGGTCCTAAGGGTGTGGGGACACGTGACAGGAGCCAGGGCAATGGGGGGGTGTCAGGTCAGTAGGGGCAGGGGTGAACAGCAGTGGGGGCTGCAGTGAGGGGTCATGGCTGGGGAGGCTGCAGTGCAGGGGCTGTTGCTTTCACCTCCCATGCAGAGGTCCCACAGTGACCTCCGGCAGACACAGGCGCCAGTCCCCTGGTGCCTGGCCACCCTCCCCGCAGGACAGGGCTCTACAAGGAGAGTGCTCTGCCCGTCCTGGTGCTCCGGGCAGCTCCCCGAGGCTGGCACAGCTTTGCCTGAGGGACCTCCTGGTCTTCACCCTGGCGTGTCTGGAGCATGGACAAGAGCTTGTGGACAGCACTGGGAGAGCTGCCCTGGCAGTTTCTCTTTTGCAGTGGAGCCATGAGGAGCACTGGGGTTCCCAGCCCTGGTGCCCTGCACACAACCCCAGCTGGACAGACATCATTGCAAATGAGAACACCAGATCGAGGGGCTTGTGGCTTTGAATGATGCTCTGAGCAATCACAGGGCCTTTCAAAYGGCTCAGGCTGTGTGCAGGTGTTCCTACATCCAGACCGTGGTTTCAAGTGTAAGGTATCATGAATGGCTCTTGCACCTCCCTTCCTGCAAGGTCCCCACTGCAAGTGTGGCCTGCAAGGTCCCCACTGTGGCCATCTGCCACCATATGGGAGACAGTCCCAGGCAGATTCTACTTGGCCATTCGTCACCTTCAAGAGCATTGAGTACCCACAAGCGAGAAATGAATCCAGCCCTTATTTCCTAACACAACACCCCATGAGCTCATTGCCTTGAGGGCATGAAGAGACCCAAAAAAGCAAAAAGTGCTTTTAAGGCTGAAAGTCCTTGAGCAAATTCTTGGCAGCAGCTTTGGAGGAAGAGCCCAAGATACAAGCTGCACTGAAAACAAGCACTTTTATTAGAGGGAAGACAGTTCTAACATGCTGATAGACACATTTAAAGAAGACTTCTGGGACAGAAAGACACATCCCACTCTGGAAAAGTGGGATGACTTCAGAAACTAGTACAAAAACATCATTATTACAGCAAGAATACCCAAATCATGGAAGTTGTCTGAGAGGAATTGGATATTAAATGAGTTGAGGGAGGGACAGCTTATTGCTGTCCCTGAATCATCTTGTTCAGTGCATCCCTGAGTTCCTTGTTCCTCATGCTGTAGATGAGAGGGTTCAGTGCTGGAGGCAGAACTGAGTACAGAACAGCTACAACCAAATCCAGAGATGGCATGGAGATGGAGGGTGGCCTCAGGTAGGCAAATGCTGTAGTGCTGAGAAAAAGGGAGACCACAGTCAGGTGCGGGAGGCACATGGAAAAGGCTTTGTGGCAGCCCTGCTCAGAGGGAATCCTCAGCACAACTCTGAAAATCTGCATGTAGGACACCACAATGAAGATGAAACACCCAAAAGCTAAACAGACACTAACCCCAAGAAGCTCAACTTCCCTGAGGTAGGAATCTGAGCAGGAGAGCCTGAGGATCTGGGGGATCTCACAGAAGAACTGTCCCAGAGCATTGCCTTGGCAGAGTGATATGGAAAATGTATTGGCAGTGTGCAGGAGAGCATAGGGAAAATTAGATGCCCAGGCAGCTGCTGCCATTTTGACACAAGCTCTGCTGTCCAGGAGGGTCCCATAGTGCAGGGGTCTGCAGATGGCAACATATCGGTCATAGGCCATGATGGTGAGAACATAATACTCCGCTGACATGAAAAAGACAAACAGAAAGACCTGTGCAATGCATCCCCAGTAGGAAATGGCCCTGGTGTTCCAGAGGGAACTGGCCATGGATTTGGGGACAGTGGTGGAGATGGATCCCAGATCAAGGAGGGAAAGGTTGAGGAGGAAGAAGTACATGGGGGTGTGGAGGCGGTGGTCGCAGGCTATGGCTGTGATGATGAGGCCGTTGSCCASRARGGCAGCCAGGTAGATGSCCAGGAAGAGGGAGAAGTGCAAGAGCTGCAGCTCCCGTGTGTCTGCAAATGGCAGGAGGAGGAACTCATTGACGGAGCTGCCGTTGGACATTTGCTCTTGGTTCACAGCACTGTCCAATGAGGAAAAGGCATCAACAAATTAGACAATATCTACACGTATCATCTAGTCAACAAGCGACAATATCTCATGACAGTCCCTCAGTCCCCTCCTCATGCACTGGGAACAGACTACAGAGACCCAAATCCTCTTCCACCAAGGACAGGGCTCATGACTGGCACCCCGTGGACTTGAGGGCTGGGAGACGAGACACAGGCCTTTSCCGAGAAGAAGACATCTGCTTTGTAGGGACTGACCAAGGCTGATCCAAATCCTCCCTTCTCACAGCAATTGCCTTTCTAGTTCCCTCCCATGCACTGATCCTGTCTCCACGGATGGAGCTTTTCCTGCTGGCAGCTGCTCCTCTCCCCCACATCTTCTCCCTGWCASTGCCACACACCCCATCCCACCCCCTGGGCACTCTCTCTGCCCTACAGCAGGATCCAACAGCAGGGCGCTGGACAGGGACATCTCCGTGTATGCGGGTGGGAGGGACCAGGGTCACACAGAGCCTGCTGAGGCCACACAAGGGGATGCTGGTGMTGTCTGCAGTCAGGGCAGGGCACAGGGGCTTCCGGAGGTTACTCACACATCTCTCCATGGAAAGGRCTAGAGGGTCAGGTTCCTGCTATCACCTGGCATTTCCTTTCCATACACCCCCAGCTCTTCACAACCACAAGGACACAGGGAATCTCCTCATCTTTAACATTAACTGCCTGCACTGTCCTCTTCAAAAGGCCCCTTCACAGTATGAACCTGCCATCATGGGGGTCTCTCCTCACACCCAGAGCTTCTCCCCACAGCACATGGGGATTTCCCAGGCAGGGTGGGTGCTGACCCTCACAGGTGGCACTCACTGCCCTGGGCACACAGCACCCTGGGGCGCAGGGACACTGCTCGGCATTACAGCCCATGCAGAACTGGGGGCACTCGCTGGCTTCACACYCCTGCACCGTCCTGGGGAGAAGGCAGCCGTCATGCCCTGTCCCTCTGATGGTCTGGATGGAAATCCCTGCTCTAAAGCACCHCCAGCTCCAAGCAAGAGAAGCTGGGAGAGACACCCTGAGAGACCCCATCAGCTGGGGAAGGTGCCAGGTTCAAAAGAGCCCTCCAGGAAKCACAGCACTCTTGTCCTGCAGACAGACACTTACCGTGTCATGGGCTGGGAAGTTTCTCCCTGCAAGGAGCTCTCATTCATCCTCCCATTCCCAACTGTCCTTCACTGAGGAGTGACTCATCCCAGCCTGGTGCCTGCGGGCAGTGCCCTGAGTCTTGGTGCTCCTTTAAGAGGAGCTGCTCCTGGGCAGAGCTGTCTCTCTGCAGCACCTGCCACGTTGCCAGGGGCTCCCRCAGTCCCAGRAGCCAGGCCCAGCTCAGGAGCAGGGACCCAGCTGGAGACGGGACACTTTCTGTCCCCTGAGCAGCCTCCAGGGCTTTCTGGGGCTCCAGGGCTGTGGAAGCTGTTTGGGTGTCTACAGGGTGCATGGACACAGCTGCAGGTAGGAACCACCATAGGACAGGCTCTGCTGGACACAGACAAAGGCACTGCCTGGGCTCACAGACACCACCAGGTCTTCATGCTCTTGGTATGGCTGTTGTCTCTGCCACCAACAGAGACACCCTGAAAGGTCTCATATCATTGTCCTGCACTGAGCACTGCACACCCCCACCCACACACTGTCCACAGGAAGACCTGGAGAATGTGGAGGAAACAAACCTTTTCTCAGAAGCTTAGTGACCGAGCCCGGACATTTGGCCTCATAAAACACATCAAGGGTTAATGTGGCATCAGAGCCACCTGCACATTTCCCCTGCCTACCTGTTATCAGTGAGGACAATTTTCTGCTCTAATCAGCCCCTGGGGAGTGTTTTCTGTTGACAATTATCTGTGGGACCAGGTAAAACTCAACCAAATGTTGGAGGTTGATTTTGACTTTGAAGTTTTGAATGTTTTGTTCAGTCTCCTCACCGTAACTGAAGTTCAGGGGCTCAGAAGCAAATACACCATGGGGCTCATTAAAATATGAAAATCCCTCACAAACCATRGCTCTGCCTGTAGCATTCATGAAGTCCCACATGGCTAATTGTAGAAGTTTGGAGGGTATACCTGAACGGTGGAGACATCAATAATATACATGAATTTCTGCTTTAAAGCATTTTACGTTATTACTCTTTTTCAGATTTAAGAGTAATCGACAGCAGCATTCTCCAAGTGGAATCAATTCAGAATGACTCCTAATGAAGTCTGGACATGTAGGAAAAAGAGTGGCCCAGACCTCAATCACTGTAGGGACACTTCCTCCCTTCTCCCAACCTGCCATTCCCTCATCAGCCACCTGGGACTTCCATCACTCTTGTTAGAAGTTTTTCTCTTCTTCTGAAGTCAGCAGCTGAAAAGGTTACACCTCATCTGCCCCAGCTCCTACCTGCTTCCCTTAGAGAACTAGCTGCAATTAAACACTCTTTTTTTTTTTCTCAATTGCAATGAAAAAGAAATAAAGCATGAAATCATTTCATCAATACAAATTGTGCTCTTCGAGTGTAGGCTAAATCCTATGATGAAGTCCACTTAAAACAAAGGACAGCCTTTCTGAAAGACAGAGCAAGCTTTAAATTTCCTGAAGTGCAAATCAGCAGCTGGGTCTCTGAGGGAACACAGAGAAACAGGAGGAGTCACAGCACTGCGGTTTCACAATGGCCAACTCGTGTCCCATAAAGATGGGGTTAGAAATTATCAAATTAAGTAGGACGCAGACAAACAGGAGAGTCACAGAGCTCTTGCAGGCCGTGGGTCATGATGCAGGACATTCTGCTTTGGGAGATGACAGACCTACCTGTGCCTCTCTGCAAAAGTAGGGAAAAACCTGTGATGCAAGAGCCTAGAGAGGAGGGATTTTCCTGCATACTCAGAGTGACCCAAGCAGGACTTGGGGATGTCAAAGGAAACCCAATGCACCAACACCAAAAGCACTGGACCTTCCTGAACCCTCAGGCTGGGAGCAGGAGGGGAAACAGCCACATCTTAGACTTCCTGCATCAGGACTTCAGCTCCACAACTTGTCATGGCTTCAAGGGAGCTCCCTAAACCAATCCTTCCCATAACCCCAGTGCATACAGGAGACTAAGGAGACATGGAGAAGACAAGGGAGAGAAAGAGGAGAGACTCTAGGGTGCAGAACAGGCCTCCCTGTGCCACAGACAGGTTGCTAGAGGCGGAATAAGCAACCCAAAGAAAGAAGGAAGGATGTGCCTCCCTTTGCAGTACCTTGCAAAGCCACRGTTCTGACAAGATTCAATAGGAATGGGGTTTGCCTTCCTCAAGATCTGCCACAGGACACGACAGAACAGGACATGATGATGAACTACAGAACAAGTAGAAATGCAGCTCCTGAGGCAAGTCACTTCCTTACAGGCTCCATATGGGAGCCTGGACAGCAGTGCTGCACTGCGTGGACCTGTCCTGAGGCACCAAGTGTAAAAAGTGTGGGAGACCCAGGGTGTCAGGGCTCTACAGATCCCAAAGAGAGGCAGGGGCTAGGAACGATACCCAGGGGAAAACACTGCCTTGAGGTGTCATGGAAAAGCCCAAGGACTAAGTGAGGTCCAAGCCGAGAAATGGCTTTCCTCGTGGACAATCGAAGCAAAGTTGGCAAAATTCATGGGATCTGGAAGAACTTCCCCAGATTTGCTACCTGGCTTGACCCATGGTTTTGGAGCCTAGCAGGAACCAATGTCCAATGTTAAGCCCTCTGGAAGGAAGGCATGTCTTAAGGACTGTATGTATGTAAGGATGTATCTTTGCTCTTTTCTGACACACCATCTCTATCCTACCAAAGACCATGAAAGTTTGCTGAGGACTTTTAAAGGCAAAGAGACTGCAGACCCTGTCTCTGAAGAGTAGCTTTCTTGAGATGTCAGTAGGAAATCCAATGCCCTTTTCAGTAAACTTGAGATTATCTTCAAGGATGGAGATGTGAGAATTTCTCTGGATCCCTGTGCCAGAAATCGAACATGCTCATGGAGAAAAAGAGTGGTTCTCAACATCTAAGAAGAATTTTCTATTCTTTCTTTTTTTTTCTCCCATATTCTCTCTTTTTCTTTTTTTTTTTTCCCTCTTCACTCACTGTTGCCCTGCACACCATTCATGTGCCCCTCTAAGAAAATCTAGCTACTCTGAGCCCTCCACAAGGTAGCTGTGCAAAACATGAATATCCCCCTTGGCATTCTCTGGTCTAGGCTGAACAGACTGAGTTCTCCCAGCATCTCCTTACCTATACCACACTCCTGTCCCTGACCATCTTGGTGTCCTTGTGCTGGAGCCCTCCTGTGTGTTATTGCCTTGGTAGAACTGGAGAGACCAAATGGGATCTGCTCTACAGACACAGTCTGCACTGTGACAAAAAGAAGGGTATAATGTGTTAATGGCCAGGCTGACTGTGCTCTTACACATCCAAAACCATGAGGGAGGCCACACTACGGCACAGCGACCTAGAGAAGTTCTCCAGTCTCCTCCTATTCTCACAGATAATCTAAATGTCACTGGAAAAGGCCCAAAGAGAGCACCTGTACTGGGACCTACCTTCAGCAGGGTGTTGGGTCTCTACCTCCAGAAAGCTTCTGAAAGCAGACTCAAAAAATCTATTCTTCCGAGATACTTTTGAAAGGGATGTGTACATCTAGAGCTACCGTCTCCATCAGTGACCAGGGACAGGGATCTCAGAGGCACCCACTGCCCTGAGAGACCTCACTTCTTGAGAGGAGGCATTTTCGTGTCTGCAAGTGTCTGTGTAGACATAAAGTGGAGAAATGGCTCTAACTGCTTCGATTAACTACTCATTTGCATGAGGGATCACAATGAATTAGGGTTGGGGGTGGAAAGATGGAATGAGGGTCCAGCATCAGCAGGAAGCCTTTAAAGGATAAGATAACATACTCCACCGGAGTGACGAAAATTGCTAAGACTCGGGAAATCATCATGATCTTCAGATAACACAAGCCTGAATCAGCTAATAGAAACCATGCAACTGTGGGAACCCCTGGGTCTCCACTGCTTCTCCAGGAACCCTTTTTCCCAGGCAGGCCTGGATTTGCTGCTCGGTATTTGGGCGACTCTACCATGGACTGTCCTGTGTTTGGTGAGACTGCCCTCACTGCCCACCCCTAGACATCCCCGCAGATCCCCTGAGCTCTCATGGAGCCTCACATTCCCTTCCAGAAGAGTGGGCATCTGGCACCAGCACTGGCACCTGTGCAACAGCCATAAGAGTGCAATTCAGAGATCATTCTGCATCTCCACTGGCTGTGCTCCCAGGGACATGAACCCCAAATGCAGCCCGTGGTCCCTGAAAGATCCCGCTGGGACTTTGAGCTCTTGCCCTGGAGCCACAGAGGGCACAGGCAGAGCAGCAGGCCCTTTCATGCTGCAATCCCTTGAGGGTATTGGTGTATTGTTGAGCTCAACTTCAGAAGAAAGACCAAACTTGAGGTATTTCACAGAAGAGATTCCTTTTTACTATGGAAATGTTATTCTGGAGACCAGGTCTGGCATAAGGCTGCCCATTGACTTATCCTGCTTTACTTAGAAAACATGTGGTGACACGTCTCCACCACCACTAGGGAATGAGAACTCCTGAGCTGTATACCCAGGTTAGGACACAGAAAGATGGCATGGGAAACAAAGAGAATAACATTAAAAAGTGAAGTTCCTGCTGCTCTTGGTGCACATGTCTCCAGGCAATCTTCTGCATTCATGTGAAGGCTGGAGTGAGAAAATGCTTGCACTTTTCTGGGTAATATACCCCCCTCTCCTTCCTCCAGGGAGAAAGGAGATGATCCTGGCATGCAGGGGTCTGTCCCCACAAACTTCTGTCTGACTCCTCTCCCCTCTACTGCCTCTCTACTTGTAGTTTTGGAGCCCTGGCAAAAGAAGGGACTGATGAAGAAGTAAAAAGGAAAGAACAAAACTGCTGAAGTACACAAGCTCTCATCTGCTGATGTTGCAGACAGATGGCAGCAAAGCTTATCAGAAAAGGGACGTGACACTTTGGGTAATTTCCCCAATAGCAAAAAGCGGGAGGAAATCCTGTGGAGGCAGGACAGTCCTGCTTCTCTAACATTTGCAAAGAAAGAGCCAACTCACTAAAGAACTGATGCGTTTGCAAAGCACTTGATAAGCGGCCAACCTCACCTGGATACTGGAAGGACCATCTGGTGAGGATGACCCTAGCACAGTCATGTCCTCCTGTCCAAAGGCTACAACAGGACAGTCTAGCAGTGATGAGCTGAGCAGGGATCAGGAATGACACCTGAACAACTCCTCCGGCTGCAGTGTGGTGTGAGTACCCCTTCCCTCCCCTGAACCTGGGACACTGGGCTAAGGTCACTGCTTGCAAGGTTGAAGAGGCCCCCAGGATATTCAGAGTATATTCCGGGTAAAGCAACATTATAACATGCAGAACACTATTCTATTTTAATTCTTAATTCCCTCTACTTTATTTTGTTTAATTTTTCTTTTCTTTCTCCATGGAATTCCTGTTTAGTAATTGATCAGCTGAATCCTATAACAATTGTGCCAGTTAACGGTGCATGTTTTTTTTAATCGAAAAGATCTTGCGCTGCTGAATAAAGCAACTAGCTAAAGCCCCTCTATCCTGTCAGCGCCTTTGCACCCTTTCTCCAAGGAGAACATGATTGCACAGAAAGTTACAGGTCTCCAATCTCTTCCAGTCTTGTCTATGCCCTAAAGGCAGGTGGAGCCCTGAGGTCCTCAGTCTCCCTCCTCCTCATTAAGGAGTTACCTTTCCCTATGGCTCCAGAGCTCCACAGGTGTCAGCCCCTCCATGGTCCCCCTCAGCAAACCCTGCTATCCCCACCACTGCTGCCGGCCCCTCAGCGGCTCTGGCAGCAGGGACCTCAGCACCAGCACCCAGTGGGAGCCTCCTGCTGGCCCAGCAGCTCCTGGGGCAGCAGGGACCTCGCACGCGCCCAGCCCAGCGGGGGCTGCTGCTGCCACGGGCTGCAGGGACACCAGGGTCCTGGGCAGAGCCACCCTGCCCAGGGAGGGGCTGCTGACATCACCATCACCTGCCCACCCACTGCCCTTCCTGGCCAATCAGGGGCTGCAGCAGCAGTGACCTCACCAGCCGACGCCCACGCATCAGCACAGAGCAGCCCTGTGGAGAGAAGGGAGCTCCCCGCACTGTCCTCGCAATGGCCTCCTTGTGCCTGCTGCAGCTGGGACATGTGTGGCCTCCCAGGCAGCGCCTGCTGCTGCCCTGGCAGCTCCTGGCACACAGGGACCTCCCYGCATGTTGGCAGCAGACCCTGCTGCCSGCCGCGCTGCTGCTGGGACAGGAGCGGCCCCAGARCCCGGCCCAGYCATGGGCCAGCGCTGGCCTTGCAGCTGCTCCATCAGCAGGGACCTCCCAGGGACCTTCCCACCAGTGRCAGCGGGAATGAATRTGGAAGTGGAGGGCGTGGCCCTGCCTGTGCTCCAGGAACGCACACGAAGCACAACCCAACCAGCACCATGTTGGGAGTGCRTTTAGGCCCTCTACATGAATCCCAGCAGAGCAAGAGAGTTTGGGAGGATGGAGAACAGCCCTGGACAGAGAATGTCCTGCTGCTGTGGTTGCACATGGCKCAGGAAAAGCTGAAGCCTCCATGTGATGGCTGTKGTGACTAAACACYTGCTGGGGTAGTGCCAAAGGGGACTCTCACAAAACCAAAGTGTCCTCATTGCAATTGGGACATCTGAGTGATGTCAGGCGAGGAGCCTCTGAGGATCCCCCATCCCTGCTGATGCAGGGGTAAGCCTGGCTTCCCGCTTCAACCTGGCCTCTAGGTCAGAATCAGAAGATACATATCTGAATCAAAATAGCATGAACCAGATTTTTATTACTATTATTATTATTA